ATAGGTATATTGAGCTTCACGCGATATTTTTGAAATTGTGATATATATTTAATCAAAGTTTTTGGATCAGCACTAATATTGGCGTAATTATTTTCTTAAAATTTCAACACCTTAATCTGCATATCTGCGGCCAAAACATCGATATTTTAATAGATCGAAAACTGCTGAGCATATCTCAAACTTTAGTGTTCAATTCTACAGTAAAATTTAAGGTATGGACAATTTCATGTCAAGTAACCCAACTCAAAAAAAATAATTTTGACGAAATTTGCAAATTTTATCATCACCTCCGAATTTATTATAACTCTACCAAATAAATGTTCCATATATAACATGTATGCAATAGTGCAAAGTGGATGTCAGTTTCATGACTTCTTTAATAGCAGTGCTAATACAATTCTAAATGCCTTACAAAATTCAAACTATTCCGCTGTTAAAATTTTTTTAAAAACTTCAAAAATTAATTCAGATTGTTAATTTAATGAAATTAGATCAATGGGTTATTGGAAATAATTTTGATTATTAATATTATTTTATATATTTTCCCATATTTCTTATATTTTCCTTAAAAATATTTAAAATATCTTCCAAAAATACATACAAAACAAATAGCCTGAACCAATGAAACATCGTTTTCGAATCATCGAATTTGCATTGATTCGATTATTCGAAATTCTCGCATAAACACATGATCTCAAATGACACGCTATTGTTAAAATCAAAAAAAAATTTTTGAAATATTTTTTTGAAAAAAGTACATCTTTGATTAATTCTAAATGCATTTTTGGAGCATTATAAAAGTGTGAAATTGAGCTCATTCTTCTGGATGTAACATCCCCCAAAAAAACAATTTGCCGCTTTGTTGTTACGATTTATGTCGTCAAAATTTTCTTTCTTCCAATATCGCGCCTTCACTTGACGACTTTTCCGGATATAATGAAGATGTAAATCGAGGAGTTACTGTATGACTTTTTGTGACACGTGCACTCAACAAGCACAAATTTATACATATTTCGACTTTTTAAAAGCATCTTAAAAAACAAAATATTTAAACATATGGTTTATTGTGTAAAGAAAAAAGTTGGGTTTTTTAACATTTATTGAATTACATATGGTTTTCTTTGGATATTGTACATTAAGTTATTTTTAAATAACTACCAATAAAATTATCCCTTGCGGACAAAATTTTTAAACACAACATTAGGGATTTGATAGTATGTATTGGAAAAATGTATGTATTTTTCGAAACTTTTTAAATAATGTCATGAAATAATCCTGATTTTAGTCTTAGTGTCTTTAACACAAGTAAATGATAACTGTTCAATTCACAACACATCCGCTCTGAAGGTTTCAATTACACAAAACTGAAATTATATTATAATCAATTCGGCTGATTTCTCATTGTCATAGAAATTTAGTAAAATAAAAGTTCGGTGAGATCATGAGACATACGACTTACAAACAATTTTCTGTGCTGGAATCATATTAGCCCTTTTTGAGAAATTCTGAATGAAAAACAAGTAAGAGTACCTCGGCTGTGCCGAATCTTATATACCCTTCACCATAGTGTTTTTAATTTTTCCTAGAAAAAGAATAGAGATGTATAATAATGTTGACAAATTGTAATGATGGTCTTGTTAGAGATAAGGAGGAGGCAAACATTTTTTTCATTTCAGATCTAGACATATAAATCTAACTCTGAATTTTGATATAAAGATACCGGTTTTAGATGTACACAACCGAAATAGTGGACCATAAAAATCAGAATTCAATGGTGGAAAAATAGAAGGTTGTTTAATAAGATCAAGTTTACAAGACAGTTTTGTAGTTGATTTCAAAAAGGGAATCGGAGTTCATGTTTTATTAATACACGTACATTAGCAAAAGTTCAGCCTACCTTAAGAGTAAATCTTTTGACAGTGCCCAACATATTGTAGTAGATTGTAATAAGTATGCCAGTACGGGGCGAGGATCAATAATCTGGAAGTTAATCCAGCGAAATTCATATAAATTTTGCTATATTTTCTTAAATATTTGCCGGAATAACAAAAAAAATATTTATTATAATGTTCTAATAAATTTTCTAATTGCAAAATTTTTAAGTAATACTTTATGTTTTTGTAAATTATTCCATAAAAACAGTAAAAGGATACAGCTCTAAAATATAACGGTGCATTGAAATGAGGTGTATTTTAATTTCTAATATTGTCAGGACTGCTTTAAAGTATTTTCATTAATTTTTTTCTTTGTTTACATTTAAAATAAGTGTAAGAATAATGTCGGTACCAAAGATACTATTAACATTAGAGAATTAATAATTAAAATCAGTAATAAAGGAAATTATTTTGAAAAATGTTCTCAAATTGTATCTAGGCCACTATATATTGTAGAAAAGTACAAAATACGCAAACAATGGGAAATACAACTGGAAAAATATATTTTTTTTTACAGATGAAAGTAAGTACAACATTTTCGGATCAGAAAGCCGAATATTTATATGGCGTAAAAAAATTCCGCTTGTGAATTAAAAGAAACATAAAGCAGGTGTAAAATTCGTTGGTGGTAGAGTAATGGTGTGGGATATAATGTCTGTAGGATGTTTCGGAAATATCATATTCGTGGAAGGACAGTGATCAATATAATTAATTAAATATTTTAAAACAATATTTGGAAGCCAATGCAGAAAAAATTATATTGTGGAAATTACAAACGGAATGGCAAACTTATACATATATACACTTCTCACTCCCCCCGGGAGAGACCCTATATTGGTGTGATTGCAATCCCGGGGAAAAGAGGTGCTACTGACTGGTGATGATCAAATGTATCCTCGGCCTTTCCTTGGAATAATTTGACATGGAGTCGAACCAGAGAACCACATAATCTGGTACTACTGGTGGCCAGTTGCCCGCAGTTGGTGTTAAGTGTATATGATACAGGATGAATGTAGGGGTATACGGATCTTATCCGCCTAGAGTGAGGGTGTCGGATGTTGTTCTCTATTGAGTGTGTCGGATAAATAAGAAGTTTGCTGGGTTGAATGGTGATGGATGAAAGGTATCTTACACAAGTGATACCATTGTATTTTCCTTCCTTGTCCAAGTATGTTTAGGAAAAACTCTGTTCATGCCAGATTTACCACAGTATGTTCTCTGTGAGTAAGAACAAAGTCATCGGCTTATTTGATGGACATGGACTTACCTAATTTAGAACACGTTAAGTTCTAAGTATTAGGATGTATGAAAAATTTTTTGACTTTGATTATAAGGATGTTGCATTTAAGAAATAATTTACAAAAACATAGAGTATTATTTAAAATTTTTCCAATTAGAAAATTTATTGAAACATTATAACCTATGATAAAAAACAATTGTTTGTAAATCGGGCAAATATTTTAGAAAATACTACAAAAAATGTTTTAAAATATATTCCGTACGGAGAATTATTTGAGTCTGTGTACATATGTATGTATTTAGTTCTGCTTATCCTGGTGATATAACGCAAAAAAAATCTTTCCAAGTGATCTTGATTTGATCGCATAATAAAACATTTATGAACTTTAAAAACATCTTTAAAAGGCCCACATTACCGTTTTGTCTCATATGAAATTACCCTCGAAACGAGTGAGGAAACTGAGTCAATTGTACTTTAAAATTCCGCTCATTATCGAACCATTTATATGTATAACGCGATTTTTAGAGCTGCTTTAACTAGTTGATCAAAATTATACACATGCTTCAATGTGTGCACGAGTCAAGTTTGATAAGGGGGAGTGATGGTGGGGCATGTGTATACAAAACAACGAAAGCTATAAACAAAACAAAAATGAGAAAAAACAAATGAATATACAAACAAATAAAAATAAATATTGCAAAACTAAACGATTAATTTACGTTTGTACACACATATGTATACATACATATGGAGATCGACCGACCGGCTTTTTATAAAAATCACTGATAAAATTGAAAAACAAAACAAAAAATAAAATGACAAGCAAGAATGTTAAGTATATACGACTATGTCGAATTGTTTCTACATTCTTCCAAATCACCAAAACAGATTCCACTTAAAAATACTCGCGGAAAGGATATGATTTTGCATACAATCCTTTTCTCATTTGAAGAATTAAATATTGATTGATCATTAACTCAAACCATTTTCTCTTATAAAACTGCATTACATAACTAAAGAAAAATGTTTTCGATGAAATCTTTAGAATCTTTTGTAATCGTTATAAATTCCCAATTTCAATCGTCCCAGCGGTAAAAATACCCATTATGTACTCGCTTATTTATGCATATCAATTGATATGCTTTCACTTTAATTTATCATACCTAGGCTGCCCAATGGTTGTGCTGTCCTTAGAATGCAAGCCACGATATCAGTAGGTGTTACTAGAATTCGCTTGCATAATAAGTGGAGTTTTAAGCAATTTACCTTATTTTTTAATTCCGTTCCTGCCATTTACATTCTAAGTACTTAGATTGCTCGCTTAGAACGTCATACTGATGTCATCGCATATTATCTTTTCATTTACCGCTGGGGTATTAAACATTTTATGGGAACAAATTTTAACTTTTGTTTGTTTGATAATTTATTGCAAGTATGTATATTAAAACAGAGTGATAAACTAATAATACTCTCAATATAGTAGGGCTAAGTAAAACAGAATGCCACAAAAACATCACACATATGTATACATATAAATAAATATACATACATATATGTATGTATGTTTGTACATACTCACTTAACTTGTTTGCACTATTGTATGTATGTATGTATGTATGTACTATGTTACGATCAATATGGAAAAGAGGAGAGAAAATATAAATACTGCAGGTTCATACGAGCACAAGTAGAAATATGTACATTTGTATGTATGTATGTATATTGTTTGTAGTGTTACTCAAAAATTTTAACTTCAATAACAAGTGCTGGTGATGGAGACAACTGCAAATGTACTCAAACCACAGACCATCAATGCAATCGATAGTCATATTAACTGATCTTCATCAGCGAATTAAGCTCAGTTCAGTTTTAACTGTATCCCAGTGAAGACGAAATAATATTCCTAGAATTTTAAACGAATCGAAATTTTCTTTTACCTCAAAAAATACTTGTATATCTAACAAATCAAAAAGCAAAGTATAATTCAAAAAGTTAAATAAAAAATGCCATTGCAACCAATTAAATTTTACTACGATTTTATAAATCAATCCAGTCGTGCTTTATATATACTTTTGGCAGCTTCGAAGGTTCCGTATGAAGCGGTTCCAATCTCGGTACTAAAAGGTATGTATAATGATGTTCCTTTAGTAAACTAACAGCCGTTACCAATAAAATAGTTAACAATAACATTCGGTATTTATAGTTATGTATGTATTTACAATAGCAAATATTCTATTCTGTGTGCCCATATAATTTAAAAATTTTTGAGATAAGGACCTTGATATTAATCCTTAAGGGAATAAATGGTACTTTAGTTTTAAAATTATATAAATTTTACAAAATTTAAGTACGATTTCTAACCCAGGAAAACAGGGGCTTTGCTGCGGAATATTATATAGCTGAATGTTCATAGCTTCTCCTTAGTATTATTAATATGGAGTTAAATGTCTAAATTTAGGTTGAAGGCTTTCGAGCTATAATGCATTATTTTTTCATTGCACCGCAAAATATTTTGATATTTTAAAATCTTAATAAAAATTGCACGGATAACAACTTTTTCATAATTTTTGCTTCATTCATAAGCTGAAAATTTATGTTAACTGAGATTGTTCTATATTTATAACTCTCGAAAGAAGAACGAAACCTTATTATGTACATATGCCTATTCTATAAATACGAAATGTTTAAGCACAACTTAATAAAAGTTTTTATTTATCTAAATCTCATGTGAAATGGAAGAAATTAAAAAATTTCCCAGTAAAAACTTTCATTACCATGTAAGGGGTTAAAATGCTACAATTTACTTACACAATAGCATTTTAAGTCATTATTTTAACACGGTGATGTCATTGGAGGCAAGTACTTACCTCAAACGATTACGAGTAATTAGAAAACGCATACAGCTTCACTGGCAAGACGACTAATGAATTATGAAGTATTTATATAACACATTATTAGTAAGACCTTATTACACTACTTCTATGTAATCCAGACGATATGTAGTAGTCATTGAAAAGTATGTTGTTAGGTAAATAATTACAAATGAAAGCCGTTACCTAGTTTTTGCTGGGTTTGTTAATTGTTTATTGTTTTAATATGAAACATTTATATAAAATTCATAATTTGAGAAAATTGTTAAAAATAATATTAAAAATATTGTTCGCAACGGCACCTTTTATATATTATTTAATATATTTGTCAGTCACATATGTAAAAAAATATTTGGTTTCGCATTTAAGCTTATTGGAATAAAAAGTCACCGGTAGAATTAAATTCATTTTCAGTGTCCTCTAATGTGGACTTTACACTATGACTTTACGTACATACGTATTTTAAAAAAGAAAATAAAAGTCGTATAATTTATACTTTTAGCGTTCACACTATTGGTATGTATAACACAATAACAAAGTGAAATGGAAACAGCTGTTTCATTTTTTTGTATGTGTTTACCTGAAAATACACCCCTGATCTAACAAAACTTTGTCACATTTTTCATTCGTATTCTCTCTCATGTGTGATTGCTTTATTACATATTGCGTTAAGAATATCCCATCCGTTCTCTTCAAATGTAAAAGGGGCTTAAAGGTTATTATCAGAATTTTTTGTGCTATATATTAGTGTCACATGTAAATATCATCTATTTAACGCACAAGTTTAAAGAATGGAATAAGTTCTCATTCTTACAATGCAATTATTCCTAATTCATACTCTCATTTAACTACCAATAAAAAATTTTATGTGCGAATTACACAATTTGTACGTTGTGTCAATTACCTTACTAATTACGAACGAATGACTGTCATCTCTTATTTGTTGGATTAAACTCTCTCTGGAGAGTGGCTGCTATTCTTGGCAAATATATTATACATATTTTTTGCAAATTGCAGATAATTTATATATTAGCTAAAATACTAACATATGTTTATATTAAATGCAATTCACTACATATTGCTAATAAGCTTCATTTAAAAAAAAATAGAAATAAATACCTAAAATGTACACATTTTTAAATCTGCATTAAATTTTTATTTGCATTTATTAAATTTAGCATATTTGCGCTAATAATTAGATCAAAGTTATTTATAATGTCGAATAGATTGGAAACAAAGAGGTTTTTCATAAAATACAGATACATACTTACACGCGTATACTTTTAACCATAAAATATATAATTCACAAAGAATAAAAGTAATAATTACCTGTGAAAATGTGAAATTATCAGTTGGTGTATATGTACGATTTGTGAAATTTACCATTAAATATGAACCTTAAAGTTCGTTATAAAAAATGTTTTCAAAAACAATCTGGGTCCAAATTATCGCATTAAATGAATGAGGCCGTGAATGTTGAAAAACTGTATTGTAAGAACATGGTATAAATTGTCAAAAAGTAAAGAGTAAAAGGTCTTGGACACATACCAAAATGGCTACCTCAATTAAAATATTACAGTTTGAGAAAGCCAATTTGATGTACATATATATGATTAGTAAAAAATAACTTAATATCGAATGCGCATAACTCGAATCGCATAATTCTAATAACAAAAAATCTCACATGTTCGAGTAAATTTCACTTGTGATCGACTTAGTAATTAGCCCCAGATTAAGTACTCAAAATCGAGCAATATATTAACTACATTTTACTTTAAAACCGAATGCGCTAATTCGGCATGATTTTCTAAGGTTGACTACAGAGTGGGCGCTACAAGCAATGCGAAGCTTTGCGCGAGAAAACAAAGCAAAAGTTTGTAGCGGAAAGCTTCGCATCGCTTGTAGCGCCCACTCTGACATCAGCATAATTCTGGATATTTTACCTTTCGAAAATACAATTGATTTATGTAATCTATTTTCGTAATGAAACATTTGACATTTGAGAAAGAAAATTATTTCGAATCACTTCCAAATTGAGACTATATTACACATATGTAATATAATATACAGACTGCAGTATGTATGAATGAATATACATATGTACATACATACATATATTCATTCATACATATTAATTAAATACATAAAATTTTTAATTTATAAACTTGTTAATCACAGTTTATTTACATGTTTGAAAACCGGATTATTAATTTTTGTTTATTACTATTTGGATATACATAAGTATGTAAATGAAATTGTCACACACCTTAAAAGAGAATGAAGGCATGTTAATATTTACATACATATCTACTTACAATGTATAGTATACGACAATATTTTGTTATTGTTTATCGAGAATAATGCACAAATATTTGTTATTAAAAATAAATTTTTAATAAGTAATAATGCAATAATTTTTGTAAATATAAACAAGTTTATATGAGTATTTTGACATTTTTGGCAATATGTTGTAATTTGTTTTAGCTCTGTTTTCTTAATTGGTGCTTTCTTTACAAATCACACAAAACTGTGATTTATTGCAAAGTTTGAAAATGGTTTCGTTATATGGACGATTAATTCCCTCAAACAAAAAGGGAAATAAAGAATATATTGTAATTAATATATATATATTGTAAAAATTAATCTATTACCTATTAGAAAGACGAAATGTTAATTATTATACCAATTGGTGTTATTATTATAATTATTTTTATTTAATCTATGTGAGTTAATCATTCTGACAAGTGAAAAAAAAAATATTGTTTTACATTTAATTTTAAGTAACCAAATTTAAAGTGGGGAAAATTTATCGATTGTGTTGATGTTTGTAATTCAAAAATATTATTGAATACATACATATATATATATATATATATATATATATATATATATATATATATATATATATATATATATATATATATATATATATATATATATATATATATATATATACATGTAATAGATATCATATGGTAAAAATTGTGGACCTACTCCCATAAGCCTCCGAAACAATTATTTTATTATTTAACAGCTTAAAAAATTGTCAACCATTAAAGTTCCGAAACAATTATTTTATTATTTAACAGCTTAAAAAATTGTCAACCATTAAAGTTCATATTTATTATCAGAAAAACATATTTTAATATTACATAGTTATGTACTTCAGTAAACGTCAAAAAAGTACTTTGACAAAAAAATAAACAAAAAAATCCTAAAAATAGAGTTAATTATTTTGGCAATTGAGCCATCCGTTTAAAGCTTGCAGGAAGACATTACTATTAAAATTGTAATCAATAATATTGTGTCTACGCTTTGCTAAAAACTTTTATTACCTTAACACTCAAATTGTTAAAGAAAAAACAAAATTATTTCTGAAAAAAAATAAAAATTTATACACAACGAATGCAAGAAATTCATATGCAAGAGAGTAAATGAGTACTATACGTTACGAATATGTTCACCTTCAAATCGTTCTTTGTTCTAACAGTTCTTTGAACCTAAAATTTTCAAATACTTATGCATATTTGAGTATGAAACATTGTTTTAGTTCTATTCCAAATATATTAAAGCTTTTATTTGCATTTTTATTCGATTATTTTTTAACCCAGAAATAAACTTGTAATAGCAGATTTAATTAAAAAACTAGAAATTGTGATGTAAACAACACCATTTTATTATTCCAGTTGATTTAAAAACGCTTATCCAAAAATAAACATTGCTTCAGTCTTCATATATTTTATTAATAACGCAGTTTGACAAAATATAAAAGAAGTCAAAACCCAGGGAGTAAATTATATTTCTACAGAGATGAAGCCAAATGTGAGCTATTACGTTTTTTTTTTTTGGAATCTAAAAATTTAAATGGCGGCGCATAAAGCAAGCATAGTGCCAGGGTAACACTATGCTTGTTCAAGAAATACCGAAATGACCTATACCTTTGTATAGGAAGCGAGATCGCTTAGACTTAGCTAATGAGTTTTATGATCTCCACCAAAATCTCCACAAAAATTTTCTATGGTCCTTCACCATGTATCAAAGTAAAAGTTGGGTTATAAATCCGAATGCATATGGTCAATATGTAGAACTCGAAAAACAGTAACACGGTACCGTTATCCGACGCAACACACTAAACCAATGCGATAGTGAAACGTAAAACTCTCGAAGGCAGAGCAAACAGGACGGCCTGATTACCCTTAAGAGATAATGGCAATGACGCACGACGATCTTCCTTCACCCAGAGCTGAATTACGAATGGAGCAATTACGTTTAGCATAGAATTTAAAAAAATTTAATGTGTTAATCAGGCTTTTCATATAATTCTATTCCGATAGAAAGTGGAATTACAAACGAATTTCAATTTTATTTTTAAAATCGAAAGAGGTTTCATTTTGGAAACGTTGCCCTTTTTACATTTTCTGAAACAGAAAAATACTAAAATAATTATTATTAAAAAATTAAAGAAAGTATTTCAAAATTTAAATATTAAAATTTGAATAATTGTTATGATTTTTTTAATTTTCTTTGGAAAAATACTTTCATTTTAGTTTCTAGTAAACATTTGCATATCAAATATAATGTATTAAGTCGGATTATTCTAATTATAGAACTTATTTTTTTAATTGTGTCATATAACCATATTTTATTGATTTAAATAAATATTGATAAATTTACACTTGTGTAAATTAAATCTTTGTCTCTTTTATTTATTCACGTGAATGCACATGAAAATTTTAAATACTTATTTTAAGTCCACAATTACAAAACAATGAAATTTAATACAGAATTTCATAAATAATTAAAATATTTTATTATACCTACCGATGTCTATAATAAATAAACCTATTAAACATGTATAATTGATCTACTTTCATTGTATATTAAATTATTGCTTAAAAATTTTTGAAATTTAAACTTTAAGTTGGGTCGTTTTCAAACCCTTGACCTTAAACGGCGTCAATTAAGCTGTGTATGTATGTCCGTCTGTTTGTTAAGGCCAATTTTCTGAAGACCCTATATGTATATCTACGGAATCCAAATCTTCAATAATTTTGTCAGACATGTCTTCGAGATATTTTATATTACACCATCACCATAAGTAACAGAGATATTGTTAAAATCAATGGCAACTTTATTCTGCCTCTGGATTATTTTACCATAAATGTTACTTGAAACTTTAATCATAGTTAGTTAAGCGACGGTAGCATAAAATATATTCTTTGCTAAGTATCTTTTTGCATTTCATATCAAAAATTTCATAATTTCATTATATTCGAAAAATAGTTTTAATATTTAGTACAATCGCTTAATATCCTCTATTCTGTGGTAGTATAGAGTACACTATCGCTCATGGAAAACTTTAAATTACGTTTAATAATTAAGTATTCTATTTAATCATACAAAATATCAACAAATTATACAGATTTGATGTGTGAATAGTTCGATCATGATTTCATTTCATGATGACAAATACTTTCAGATTGATTAATGAGCGTGAGAAATTGGTATGACTTAATAATTATTATAATTAAAACTGTCAATTAAAACTATATAAATTGAAAAACAGAAAAAATAATTTTACAATTAAAAGGGCTTACTGCGGTAATATGATAAGTCTCAGGGTTTCATAAACTATATTACCATAGCCATCACCACAAAGATATTGAGACTTGGATCAACTCTATAAGGTTTGAATCTCGCTCTGTAGTAAGTGAGACTAGCATAACACAAAAAATATACATATGTACATATATCCGAGATATTAAAAACCCCGATTGTGAGTTATGTACGTCTTCTAGTAAATAATCGATATGTTGAATCATATTATAAACCCTTAAATGTACATATCGAGGGACTTTATTCAATAGTCTCTATCTAAAATAACACAAATTTTCAGGAGAGCAAAAAAACTGTTTATTTCGCTAGTTCGTGAAGATTTTTGAGTTTTTTCTTCTACAATATATTTTTACGACCGTATTATAAATAGTTATATAAAACGAATTTAAAATTTTGCATTATTTACAAAATTATTCACAAATTTATATCAGATAGAGAGTTTTTCATAGAAATATAAAATTTTTATTTGATTTTATATAAATAAATATTATATTTTATGCAATTTAGTGAAGTAATATAAACCAAATTGTTGAAAAAGCAACAGATTATAAGGTTTTGGTCCAAAATCAATGTTATATCGTTAAACACGGCAATAAAATTATTCAAATTAGTATCATAATGAGCAATATCTCGAAAACTATTAAACCGATTTCAAATATTTTGCGGATTTGTGTTCAGCATGTCCAAATTAGTAAAAACACTTGTTTTGCAACATAAAATTATCCAAAATAATAGAGTTTGAAGCAATTTTTGGATAAGATAGAGAGTTTTGCATTCAGAATTTTTCTTTTTTTTTTTTTTGAAAAAAAATTTTTTTTTTTTTTTGAAATTTATGTCACTGATGCGGGATAGTTTGCTGGATATTTTGCCATTAAAATCATATTTTCATGAGACTATTGAATATAGTCCCTCGATATGCAAACATATTTATTTAGGAGTTCTTTCAGAACTTCGAAATGATTTTTGTTGTCACAAATCTAATTTCTGTGGAAAGTTTACGGAATATTATTTAGAATACATTTATAAACCTTAGAAAACGTATTCTTACGTACCTTCTGAAAAATTTTGATTAATTTTGGTAGAGGCATTAAACATTTATAAGTCATTTTAATTTTTAAAGTAATTTTTTGAAGGGAACCTTATATGGGTGTTCGGGTCAAATATGGTCCAGTCGCCACAAGAAATGCACAAGTTTTACATTTTTATTGGTACTATTATTTTGAAATATAAATATAATCATACCACTTTCAAGATAAATGGTTCTTATGCAGAATAATTGAGTGTCTTTAGGAACATTTATTAATAGATTTGTTAAGTATATTTAATTGAAAATTTTATTTATTTTTTGTTGTCACGTTTAAAGACAACGGAATCCAATAAGCCTTTTGTTTTCTTTGTCAACAACACCTTTGAACAATCTTTAGAATTTACTGCTTAAAATAACTATAAAATTGATAAAATATTGCACTGTGTGTGTGTAGATACAAACAGAATTATCGCACAAATAAAATAATAAATGGTGGAAAAAAACGTTTTTGTTAATTTCACTTAACACTTGAAACTTATTTAAAGTAGCCGAATTAATTAGATCCATTAAGTACACTTAAAACTTGATTTTCGAATTCATATGCAATAAGTTAATTTATCGGTAAAAAAAATTAATTTTTAAAAGAAAATTTATAAAAAAATATGAAGTGAAAACATACATGTTTGTATACGGAAAATTTTTGAAACCAATTTACTAAATAGGTTTCAAAAATATTGTCAGCGTAGGCATGCATACATACATATGTGACAATTTTTATTGTTGATAATTTTATGATTGTTTAATAATAACAGTTTTTTTCTAATTGTCATTGATAAGACTTTTTAATAAAAAAATCTTTAGATTACAATTTATTTTCCATTATTAAAAAAATTAATTGGTATTTTATTTTAATTTGACGTACAATGTACAATGTTTATATACATATGTAAGTAGGTATGTACATATATGTATGTATGTCGATATATTATAAACAATAATTTAATGGAAAATAAACAAAATGAAACAATGAATTGCACAATTGTTAATAATGCATAAAACATTTAAATATTTTTTAAAGCTGACCTATTTAAAGTAACGATTTTTTAAATAAAAATATTAGCTCATTTTCTTTTATAAGATCTTGTTAAAAATAAGTATAAAAAGTGCAAAAAAGAAAATTTTAAAATGAATTTTCAACTACACATATGTTATAAAAATACAAATTGAAATTCAAAACAAATCTATTTGTGTTTATTTAAATTGAATTATTTATATATTTATTATGAAAAATTGGTTGGTTACTATAACTGATAATTAATTTTTGGTAAAAACAAATGTTATGTTTATTGTTGGAGTTAATTTTTTCTGAGTGTGATTAGAATCACCCCATACTAAATGCCAAATATTTTAACAGATGTTTATTTGTTTATATACGTATGTACATAAATATATATTCAAGATTTGATAATATGAATAAATATTTACCGATAAGAATAAAACGTTCTTATGTTTTATAAATTTCCTTTTGAGCGTTTTATAAGTACATACTTATAATTGTTTAGATATTATATATATTTTAAAATAACGATAAGAATTTTAAATTTTTATTTCTGAATCACATATTTGCCTATACAGTTTTATACATTTAAAAATAAATAAAAATTTATTACAAATGTTGTATATATATTTTTGTATATTTTTTTATGATTAAATTAATATTATTAAAATGTCCAAAAACGGTCAAACAGAATAAAATCTGATAGGGCCTAAACCTTTAATATCAAAGAACTTATTTAACATTTTTTTTAATATTAAATTTATCTAAAATTTTTCAGGCGAACATTTGACCGGAGAATTTCGGGATAAAGTAAATAGATTTAAAAAAATTCCAGCCATTACCGATCATGGATTTCAATTATCAGAAAGTGTTGCTATTTTCCGCCATTTGTCTCGAGAAAAACTTGTGCCAGAACATTGGTATCCTCGCAAAAATTTAGGTCGCAGCCGTATCGATGAATTTCTTGAGTGGCGTCAACGCAACATGGGTTTGGCGTGTACCGATTATTTTCAGCAAAAGTGGTTAGTGCCATACTTGCAAAAAACCAGACCAAATGATAATTCGGTGAGTATAAATAAACAAATATTAAAACCAAAACAAACGAAAATAGTGCACAACGGAAGTATACTGCATAATAACTTTACCTTGGCAATGACATTGTTAAATCTTTAAAGTCTTGTTTATTTGCTTAACAAACTCTCATCATATGTCATGCCATATGCATAAATTAAAATTTGAAATTGAAACAACATAACATTTTCATCTCTTTTAATGCGCTGCTCATTAACATTTCTCTTTTTTTATTTAAATTTTTTCTAGGTGAATGTAGCCGCTAAACAACTTGAGCACACACTTAATGATTTTGAAAATCTCTTTTTGCATTCCAAAAAATTTATGGTAGGAGATACTGTTTCATTTGCTGACTTAGTGGCAATTTGTGAAATTGATCAGCCAAGTAAGATTGATCTTGAAATAACCGCATACAACATATGTAGTATATATATTAACATACACAACTTATTTTCTGTATTTTTCTTTACAGAATACATTGGATTTAATCCATTTGCCAATCGCAATAAATTGTCAAGATGGTATCAATCCGTTCAAGAAGAATTGGGACCCTACTACAAAGAAGTAACAGACAATTTCGAAAATAAACTGAAATCTGCTGAAAAGGATCATAAAGAAGCAATTTCACTGAAGCAATAACAACAAAAAACGTCATTTGTTTTTTCATTACTACTTTGTAAATTATTAGTTATTAAGTTGTGTCGTTATTTTCATGTTTATTGTTTAAATTATCAAATTTTGAAATTGTTTTTATTAACTATTAGTATATTGTATATTTAAATACAAACGATAAGTGCATACGTGTTAAGTATGTTTACATAAATATGTATGTTTATAATTAATTTTCTTATTATTTATTGAAAGCGCTGACATTTTCTAATAAGTCGGAAATATTCGTATACCTAACTAAAGGACCGTTTTCACCTATGAAATATTTGATGAAAAAGAAGTAACCTCCTTTTTTTAATATTTTATTAATCTTAAATGATTTGTATACACACCCAGCAAAAACTTACATTGAAAAGGAAGGGATTAAAATGCCAAAATTTACTAACACAATAGCATTTTAAGTCATTATTTTAACACGGGGATGACATTGAAGGCAAGTACTTACGCTTAAAGTTAGGTTACTACGATCGCCTGCGAATAGGGAGTTAACTAAGTAATTTGGTTCTGAGAAAAAAATTCTACGAGGATACGTCCACTGCGTCTATTAGTCTTCACAAAAAAAAAATATTTTTTTATCGTTAGTGTTAAAAGCTAAGTTCGAAAACAAAATATCATGACTAAAAAGTTGTCAGTCATTACTAGACTCCTTCTAAGTAATGCAGAAGGTAGTCAGTGCAGTAGTCATTAAAAAAATAAGTTGTTAAGTGTAAGTCATTACCCGTTCTTAGTAGAGATGCCAATCGGGATTGATTTTAAGACATCCTAGAGTTCGGGATTTTCAAATAAATCCCGCGAAATATAAATAAATTTTCAAAAAATCTTAATAATTTACCGCAAAAATCCAATTTTCTATTTCATATTATTACAATATTAATACACATAGATTGTATTTACTAATACAAAATCTTTCGAATAAGCTTTTTGTGAATTTCAGCAAAAAATTTATTCAAAGTACTAAAAATAATAAAATAGTAATTCAAATACAGTGTTTCCTAAATACACGGGTATATAATTTAAAAATTGACTGAAATTCTTATAAAATTTGAAAATTAAATTTCCATCCAAGGCCTTGTAAGGTAATTAAATTCACTTTTTTGTCGGACAAAATAAAGTGTAAATTTTATATACATATAATTATTTAAATTTCTTGTATATCAACATTTTTTTATTTATTTTGATTCTGATTTGAATATCTGGATCGACATTTTTGTATTTTTTTTACCATTATTATTTGCAATCGCCTTCCCTTCTCCTTGCTTTCCCTCATACGATTATTTTCAAAAGAAATCCGTTTTTGTTCGCTATTTGAGCGGAATATTTGATCAATTGCGGTCAAAAATTAATCTATTGGATTTAAGGCGATGCTCTGAGCAGGTCATTCCAATTTTTCAGTGTTTATTTTTCTTACAGAAATGTTTTTAATCTTTATCGTGTGTTTGAAGTCATGAATCTGTTGAGGCATTAAGTCTCCCAAATCTCTTTATACGGCATTTATTTCAAAATTTTTATTAAATACTCTCGTGAATTGCTCATTTGTCATTGTTTACTCCATTTTCACTAAGATTCCCTCTTCTAAAGTTGAATAATGTACCAATATCGATAGCCCTCAACCATAATGTTTAAAACCTGGAGTATTGTTTTTAAAATTTTGTATATTGAAGGGCTAAACTCACACTCATTGTCGACATTTTAAAATTTTCGGTACAAATTGGGACTCATCTGACCAATTACGCAAAATTTGAGCTAAAAAATACAACATGAAATACTAAAATCGAAAAAAAAATGTCCATGCTTTTAAATATGTTGGTGAAAGATTGAAGATATGGGTCAGTTGACTCTTCGTATGTGTCCAATTTTTAACGTTAGGTTCCCCCCACCTAAGGGAAATTTATTCAAAAAGGTCCAGTGAACACTATGTGAGCATATCAAATCTTAAGATCAGTGCCTTCGAAATGGACTTGGGCAACTTTATATCTCGGCAAGATAATAAGCTGAAGCACTTGATAAAGTTAAAAAATAACATTACTGTAGGAAAGAACACTGAAAAATTGGAATAAGTTGCTCAAAGCACCGCCCTAAATCCAATAGATTAATTTTGGACCACAATTGATCAAAAAATTCCGATGAAATAGTGATCAAAAACGAATTTCTTTTGAAAATAATCATATGGGGAAAGCAAGGGGAAGGGAAGGCGATTGCGGAAAACAATGGGAAAACATTACCAAAATAGTTCAAGTAGATCCAGATATTCAAATCAGAACCAAAATAGATAAAAAATTTTGATATACAAGAAATTTAAATAATGATATTTAAAATTTACACTTTATTTTGTCCAACAAAAAAGTGAATTTACTTTAATTTTTGATGTTATACAGAAAAATTTTAAGTACAATAATTTAGTTTTATTGTCATTTTTGTAGCATTGTATATTAACTAAATGATTTTGAAAAAATTTTCCATATTCAAGAATCATTTAACCGATTTTTCGCTGAAATAATATAGCATGAGCACTTTTGCACTTTATTTTGTCCGATAGTGTATGTCCAGTAGGTCCTTTGTATTGCCTGTAAGTTCATAACATTTGACAGATCATATATGTCTATCAGAGAAATAAGTCAACACTAGGGTCTGGTAATAAGCTATTTCTAAAACATACATATGTATTAAATTGTTTCACCTTGACTTCTACAGAAGTCGTTGCAGGGAAGACCCATGAGTTTCTCCTTCTACATAATTTTAACAACTTCTAAAGAAGTCATTATAGGATGTTTTATTAGGATTTATTGTCCCTTTTATGATATTTCAGCTTGTAAGTTAGTACAGTCATCATTAAGTCCAAAATCCAGTTCCAAATTACTCAATTTAAAGAGAGGCCGAAATATTCAAAACTTTATGTTTCTGCATATTTTGTATTAAATTTTAATTCATTTTTTTTTTTTTTGGAACCTGTTCAGAAAAAGTTATCTAATCTAAACTCCCTTGAACAATTTTGCTAGGACCAATAGGTGAATAGTACACTCATTTGAAAAAAACTCTATATGACCCATATGTCTAACTTTGATGCCCTCTAACTCCGGCAGTTCTTGACCGATAGAGTAGTGTCTGGCCTACTATCCAATAGTACTAACTAACCTTGGTGCAAATCGGAAGACATCGATTTTAAAAGTTGCAAAAATAAAACGAATTATGTACCTCCAAACGAATAACATTTATCACCACTTCAAAAGTAGCACTTATTAAATTTTGTTATCTTCTGTGGAACTGATGTTTATTTTATTTTTCAATGCTGACGATTTTTTCTTCCTAAATTTTTATGAGTTAAAAAATATTATTTTTGGGCTTTTGTATTAAATGTGTCTATTTCCCTTATTAATGTTAATATTATTTAAGTCAAGTTAGTTGTAATTTATAATACTACAATGTCTATTCCAAATAACTTCCAAAAAATAACATAAAAATTACTTCTTGAGAATGACTTCAGAAATAGTGAATTTGGAATCAAATAAAAGGAACATCCCTCCTATGACAACCTGTGTTAAAATCATCACTTCTGCAGGCCTTTTTCATTACTTCCATAGAGTAAATTCTACTCCTTTTTCCCTTCTTTGTAAGTTCTTTTTTTTTGTTGGGAATGTATTAAAGGCCTGCACAAGACAACAATTTGTGTGCTTATGATGGCACACACGATATTTTTTAACAAATTATTGTCTTATTGTTGTCTTGCGGAGGCCTTTAGTATGTATATATGTATTAGGGTGATCGATTATTCGACATTTTCCAAAAACCGGTTTTCGAATAGTTCGAATAGTTGACATTTAAAAAAAACCGGTTGATATTTTTCAAATACAGAAAAAACCGGTTAACCGGTTTTTCATTATAAATAAAAAAATATATTTTAATTTGAAAAACTTAATGTTTATGTTTAAATTTGATTAATAAAACATGGCCCGAAATGATTTTTAACAGTTTAAAAGATTATAACTTTAGATCTAGTCGTCTGATTTACATTATTTCTTTAATATAAAAAAATTAGGAAAAAAAGTGGGACACTTCTGTTAAACATAAGGTACTATGTAATCCTAGCTTATTTTAAAAGCCCTGTTTAGGAAATTTGCACAGGCATTCCAACACTTCCATAAAATTTCAGCCGTAAATTAATTATTGTAATTGGAATATAATTTAAAGATTGATAAAATTTTATCAAACAGTTATCAATTTTACAAATAAATTTTTATAATTAATTAGGAAAATCAAAAAAGTTTAACAAAGGAGCTGTAGAAAAATATACGCTAGTTCCTCGACTCGAATATTTTTAAAATTTAGACGGGCTGTATTATTATTTACTTAAAAATTTCATTTAAATAATCTTTGAATACAAAGCAAATAAAAGTATTCGAAACCGGTTTTTAAAAAAGTGAAAAAACCGGGTTATTCGATATTCGAAAAATCAACATTAAGAAAAAACCGACACTGGTAAAGCAGAAAAAACCGGTTTTAAAACCGGTTGAAAAATCGAGTCGATCACCCTAATATGTATGTATATAAGTATTTTAACACGTCTATAGCCGTTATATAGTGTTATTTTGTTTAATATTGATTTCATTATAAATCGGAGTATAATATTTTTTTAAATCATTCCTTCATAAATGAATGAAATAATATAGTTTTATTATACCAATAATATTTTTGATTAACATTTATGTTCGGGCAGTACTCTGAACAAACTTCTCAAAAATGAAGTGCGCTCTGGGTAGGTTCATAATTTTTTTGAGTGAGCGTCAACGAATTAAAGAAAAAAATGTTGATTTTTTAATGGTCACGTCTTTTCGTCAAATATTTGATAGGTGTGAACGCAGCTTAAGACTAGGGTTCTATAGTTGAAACGAAAAGTCGACTTTTCGACTTTTTTCATTTAGTTAAAAGTCGACTTTTCGACCTTTCGACTTTTTCCATTTTATGAAAAGTCGATTTTTCGACTTTTCGACTTTTTTCATTTAAATAAAAGTCGACTTTTAGACTTTTCGACTATAAGTATTTTATAAATAGTCGACTTTTCGACTTTTTCCGACTTTTTTCGACTCTTCGACTTTTTTCGACTTTTCGACTTTTTTCGACTTTTCGACTTTTTTCGACTTTTTCCGACTTTTTTCGACTTTTCGATTTTTTTCGACTTTTTGACTATTTTCGACTTTTTTCCGACTATTTTTTGACTTTTTTCGAGTTTTTCCGACTATTTTAGAGTTTTTGACTTTTTTTTCCACTTTTTTTAAATTTTTGACTATTTTT